GAGCGGAGTGCGCATATTACCTGACCTACCTTGGAAAGATCGCTTAAAGGAAGCAGTTGACCAACGCGGCATTCCTAATAGAGATAGCAAGAAAACAATATTTGTTCATGGTGTTCCCGTTCGCCCGCATTCTTCTGATCACGATGCGCAAACAGATGACCGAGAGCAGTGGTGCTACATCCGCGAAGCACTCTCTGTTGATAATGTTATTGCCAAATCCCTGACAAGAGTTCCGTCATCACCTAACTACAAGGGCTGCGGTACAAGATTAATGAAAGTAATATTACACTCCGAGGGAATGACGCAAGTTCTGTTGGATAGCTGGTTAAAGTTTCGAGCTAGGTTTCCAACCAAGATCCGGCTAAAGATAGCAAGCGAACGGCCAAAGGTCGGAAGCAATTCGATGAAACTTGCAAACGCTGCAAATTCTTTATCTGCACAGTCCTGCGAAGAGACCGACACAACAGCGCCCACGGTACACAACAGGACAGAGCACAGCACGAGTGAAACGTCTGTTCAGGAACGCTCAATAATGCCATGCAACTTGACTGAAATTAATAAACAAGAAAACGATTAATGGCCGACCAGCTAACAGCCGGCCTAAAAACTAACACAAAGTTGACATCCATCAACGCACTCCTAACAACAAAAGCTCTATGTTGCATGTACACAAACACCCAAGGCCTTCTAAGTAAGTTGGCCGAACTTAGAGAACTCCATGCCTCACAACCGCGGGACCTCGTCATGATTACAGAGACATGGTTAAACCCTGAGATAACCGATTCTGAGATCAATTTGCTCGGTATGTCGCTGCTTCGGACCGATAGAATCGGAAGGGGTGGCGGTGTGATTCTTTACCATAATACAAACCTCCGATGTGAAGTTGTCGATCACCCGGAAATCCGAGCTCCTGATTCGCTTCGGTGCCGCCTATGGTTGCGAAACAAGGACACATACCTACTAGCCGTGATTTACCGACCACCAAACTCAACGTCGGAAATGGACGCCAAACTGACACACGTTTTTCAGTTTGCTTTGAACAAGTCCTTCACCCACATTCTTATCGCTGGAGGCTTTAAGGTGCACGACATAGTAACGCTGGCAACCGACGGTACGCAGTTTAAAGACTGTTTGCAGGAGCTAATTGCTAGCCACCCTCTGTACAACCACGCAACCTCGCCCACCAGATTTCGAACTGCAAACAAGCCGTGGATACTGGATCTTGTGCTAACTAACGTAGAACTCATGGTTGACTGGATAGTTACAAGCACATCACTGGGTCGTAGTGATCATGTTACTCTACTCTTTGACTATATATGCTATGCGGAGTACCCTGAAAAGGAGGATCATAAAGTACATACCGTCACGCATTACAATGTGTTATCTAAGCTTGTTAAGGCTACATCTTGGACTTTCTGTTATGGGGACCCAACGTCCCTATAATTATTAAAGGCTTAAGTTACGGAAGGCTGAAAACCCGATTCACTCAAGTGCACATGTACTCAGAGCCAGACAAAACGCACACGTTTAATCAGCCTTCCAACTCGTGTAACATGCACATTGTTTAGCCTTTGCACCCAGAAACAGTCTTGTTTCCAACCAAACACGCATTGTTGTATCCAAGCAACATTCATTTTTCCGGACAACTCTCGCCAAACTTCCAACATTTCTGCTCAGTTACGGACTTTGCACATTTACATAAAACCATATTTCTTGTTTCCAGGGTTTGCTTACGCAAACCCTTCCAAGAAAAACCCCCTTCACCACCGTTTCGTGATATAAAAATGAGGCTGTACAACGCTAGAATCGCCTTAGCTTTGGCCAGTAAAAGCGCCTGTGGCAAAGGTCTGGCTTGTTCTTGCTTCAGTCTTGGGTTGGGAAATCGTGTGTAGAAAAATTGCGTTCGGTCTAGGAACCTGTTCGACTAGCGTGAATTAATCTCTCGCGGCTAAGTTCCGAGAACCCACAGACTTTGAGCTTGTCAGTTACCGTGCCGTGCGAGCAATAATTCTGAGTCTACGTAAGTTCATCCGACTAGGAGAGTTGGTATTACATTGTTAGAACCTGATGTATTCAAGAGGCAGTATTCAACACCTTCTTAACCGAATGCCGCCCAGGTGTTGTCTGGGAAACCTTTAGAAGGACGTCTGGCACACTGGTGGCGCACGCATCGGCACAGAAGGCCTTCCAACCCAAAAACAAGCGTAAGTCATTTCTGAGGAGCAGAACACGTAAATGTATGTCCCGGAGGGATTTGGCATGGCGAGCCCACAAGAACTGCTCGAATGCCGAAACCTGGACTGCATACGTGACACATCGTAACTTCTGTGTGAAACTGATCCGCGAAGACAAGGTCACGCAGCTGCAGGAGTTAATGAAGTGATTCTGCACGAACCGCAAACTTCTGTACAGGCACGTTAACGGACTTCGAAAGGTGAAGCGGGGTATTCCAGCACTAGTCACGGCTGATGGGTGCACGCGATCAGCAATGGAAGCAGCTGATCTCCTACGGATTCATTACTTCCAAACTTTCCAGCAGGTAACGAGCCCAAACATTCTCCTCATTTCTATTACTTCACCATCGGGTTTAGACAACATCACCTTCACTGCGAAAGCTGTGCTGAAGAAGTTGTTATCCTTACGTATCCACAGTTCACCTGGAGCCGACAACATCCGACCAAAGGCTCTGCAAGCGGTAGCTATTATCTAAAACTGGCTGTTTTCTATCAGCGATGTCTAGAAGAGAACCATATTCCACCAGTATGGAAGTAGAGGAGTCATCATTCCTATCCATAAAGGAGGTAGCCGCACTGGTCCTCCCAACTACCGTCAAATAACACTACTTCCTGTGCTATCCAAAGTGATGGAGTCAATCATCGCAGATGCACTGATGCAGTATCTGAAAAGCCACAACTTAATGGCACCAGAGCAACATGGCTTTCGTCAAAAGCATCCGTGTAATACTAACCTATTAATTGCATGTAGTAGCTGGACTGAAGCTGTTGATGATGGAGTAGGAGTCGATGTCATCTACCTGGAGTTTTCAAAAGCATTTGATCGCTTAGACCATCGAATTCTCCTTCAGAAGCTTTGGAACTACGGCATTGACGACCCGATCCTGAGTTGGATTAGCGATTTGCTACACGAACGACGGCTAGTTGTTAGAGTCCGAGAATCATTGTCTGATGCAATCGATGTGGCGTGTGGATTACCACAAGTCTCGGTGCTTGGACCTCGTCTATTCCTGGTGTTCATTAACCATTTGGCGCGATCAATTGCTTCCGATTTCCTATTTCTCGCTGATGATATCAAGATTTGGCGAAGGATCAGAGGACCGGACGATCATGAACTGCTCCAATGGGAACTTAACACGGTGTCGAATTGATCAGTACAAAACGCCCCACCATTCAACGTAGACAAATGTCGCGTTGTACAATTACGCCATAGACATAACTACACCTATTTACTTGGGACAAACGGATTGCAGATCGGCTCCCAGGAAAGTGATCTTGGTGTGATCGTACAGAGCGACCTCAGTTGTTCAAAACAGGCTGAGGTAGCTGCGAAAAAAGGCAACCAGCACGTCGGCGTGCTGCGAAGGGCATTCGGGAGATTCGACCCATCAATCTTCCCAATGATGCACAATTCCTACGTGCGCCCGCATGGTGAATACGCTATCCAAGCTTGGCAACCTAAGTTGAAGTGCGACCTAGAAGAGTTAGAAGCACCACAAAGAAAAGCAACAAGAACGTAAAGCGCGTGCGCTATCACTCTTACCACCGAAGGCTGAAGTTGCTGGGAATTTTCAGCGTAGGCTGCGCGGAGATCTCATATTAGCGTATCAGATATTGAGTGACCACAACCACGTATGCCACCATTTGCTGAAACTTAGCCACAACACGCAGCTCAGGGTTAACTGCTTAAAATTGAATGAACAATATAGCCATTTAGAATGTCGACGTAATTACTTTTCCCTTCGTGTTTGCCAACCCTGGAACGTACTCCCAAACTCAGTTGTATCCTCCCCTACCTTGGAGGTTTTCAAAAAACGATTAGATGTTGCTCTTAGCTCCCAGCATTTTTGTTACCTAAACTCCTCTATTGTGAATTACGCAAAGCATGCTTTTCAACAGGATATATGTATCAAGAGGACCCAAGTGAGCGACGATAGTTTACTTTTCTCACGTCTTACATCAACGATCACTGCACCCCCGTGTCTTTCTGAACGTTTACGCTCGATTTTTTAAAAGCTTACACTGATGTAATTTATCATAGTATTCATCTAGGCAGACGTTCGGTAGATGACCCAGATATATTTTGATTTCATCATATTCATCCCAACCACCCTACGGGACGTGTCAAGCACTTGCTTTTATCCCGTGATAAATCATTGTTCATTGTTCATTGAAAAGGGATAGACAATGCAAACACACCACGTCTATAAGCCAGGTAAATCTGGAACAATACCATTGCTAGTAACTGTCTCTGATCTGACAGGTGTTGGCAGATAGTATGAAGTCTACACCAGGGTTACAAGTAATAGATGAGAATCGGATTCACTTGACTAGTATTCTCAGCGTACTGTGCTAATATTTTGGAAGCTGGCCGTGTTAAAATGCTTAAATGAGGGCACTTTGAGGCGCGGGTTACGTCTCGATGCACATGAAATGGCTCCTTGCTTCGTTTGGCCATTTGTATTTTGTTAGCCTGTTGTCTCCATTATCGGCTGTCCAGCACTAGTTAAACTTCGCTTAAGTTTACTTGATTGCATTCGTTTATTGGAGCAAAAAATAAGTAGTTCACGTACCCAATCTGAAAGAGGCCTACTTTAGGGCAACAGTTCTGTAGACGAACACGTTTCCATTTGTTGTTTCAAAGCTCTTAAGCGATGTACATGCAACCGTTTAACGGAGACCATAATCAACATACACGTTAGCTAGAGGTGGGGAACACCTCAGCTACTGTGCCGGAGACCATTTGCATCGCAACGAAAATGTATTACCAACAGTAAGTGTATATGGCTGCTCATGTTATGAGAAGTATCGAAAACCTGTGTGTAGCTCAATGAGAAGTGGAACCGGACTACTTACTAAAATCAAGCGTCGTTGAGCCACAATTGTCACATGAATATTCGCATCTGAGTTTAACACGGATGCTCAAACCAGCTTATTATCAAAATAAGCAGTTTAGTAAAAAGAATAATGCATACTTTGTGCGGGTCTTGCAGATGTGGATTCTGTCCTTCAGGAAATAACTTGTCCGTGTTTTCCTGAAACCGATGGCTATTTTTACAGATTACTCAAGCACAAACTCGGTGCTGGATTAGAAAGGCACATCAAGTTGAAAAGTTCGTGTCCACACTTCATATATAACTTGTTCTCATCTTCATTCTTTGCTTTTCTGCAAGCCACACTGCAGTTTTGGAATTCTCTGGGAGTGCATACGCAACTGGATACCCTTGTCACCCGACTTGGGAGAGCTGTTCGCCCATTGCAGAAGTTTGCACCCTTTGGGAAGCTGTAGTATGGATTTGCTCGAACGCATCCTTTGCACGGCCGTCAGGACGTGGTTTGCGTGAACTAGGCGTAAATCGCAGTTGATTATTCAATTCCGCCAACTGAGTTAACAGCCGGTCATACTCAGTTTTCTTACTCTGATGGACACAATGTCGCTGGTGACTGCAGGATGATGCGGATGATCCCTGTGTTTCTATGTCACGCGGTACATACTTATTGTCGGAGGATTTATCGCGACCAGTTTGCCTCGTTGAATTGGCATATTTCCTTGCGCTTCTAGTATGATGTAAATCCGGTCGGATGACGGAAGGTGCCCATTGGCGGCTTACGGAAGACACAGTTGGGACTAGTGGAATTAAGTAGGGAGATAACGCCGGTTTATTAATCTTCGAATTACGAGTCAAATGTGACAAGTCCTGGGTTCCGCGGTGCATATAACGATCCAAAATGGCTGGTATACTTTTATCTATACATAACAAGTCATACTGGTTGGGAATTGGTCGACTTTTACTCACTTCATCTGTATGCTTTCCCGTTGCTTTCGGCTGATGCGACCTACTCCTGCTGGTCACTACGCGTCGGTTTCCTCTACTTGTGCACAAGTTGCTTGTTTCGGTGTTGGTGATATGAGTTGCAGCTGAGCGATTTGCGTCTCGCCCTTTAAGTGAATTACCTGATATCTTCTTTGCGGCCATTTTCGACATCATTTTCTGGGAAATATGTGATGTTTTTACGTGCGGTTTCTTATTTTTCCGTCCGCTCTCGCCACAGTCTCCAGGCAGACATACGACGACGTGTTGACTATGTGGACCAGTGCAACGGATGCTCAGTTCATTCAAAGAGGAACTCTCATGCATGCGGTTGGTTTGGAAGTCAAGGGAAGTTTGCGTACCACGGGAGATCAATTCCTTCGTTCTGGCAGAGACTGTATCTACAAGGTGTCGATGTGACACTGTTTGTTTTTCATCTCCTGCTTTTGTATTGGTTGATTTGTCAACGACAGCATTCAGTTTGTAGGCGTGCTTGTCAATATTTGTTGCTCTGGTTTCGTCAGCAAGCGAATCCGGTGGGTCTCGCAAACGACTGTCTACCGAGAAACCTCTGGAATCTCCAATGGGGCGTGCATCCACTTCAAACACATCGGGTGATTTACTTCGTTGACGGCTCCCTAACAACTGTTGTTCCACAGCTTCTTCTGTTTTATCCTTTAGAAGACCGTCAACCGTCTTGGCTCCATAGTGAATTAGAAGTCGATGCATTGGTCCTTCGTGTATACCTTCTTCAGATTCATTCATGATAGCTAGGTCTAAAGCAGTCACGGCACCCCCGTGCGGAAGCTGTGTCATAGTATTCACGTTTGCTCCATGTTTGAGTAGGAGAGCGCACAATTTCATTCCGGTGGGATCCCCACTCCATGAGGCAGCTACCGCTAAGTGCAGCGGCGTGTGTCCCTGCGAATCTTTCTGGTTGACCAGCTCCTGAAATCTATTGTCCTTACACAGCTCATTGACGAAAGTGACGTTGAGCAACAAACAGGCCTCATGAAGCGGCGTCGCACCTGCTTTGTTTGCCTTCCACAAATCCAAACCTGCGTTAGCCAGCTGGGATAAGTGATTGGTTAGTTTGTGCTTGCAGTCTTCCGTTTGTACCGTTTGTGCACGAGCCAGACAATGGGCAAGTGTTCTCCCCTTTGAATCGGAAACGTCCACTCGGGCTCCGGCATTTAGCAGCGCTTTGGTTACTTCCGTGTGGCCAAGGGTAACGGAGTAAAATACAGGTGTGCAGCCATCTCTGTCAACTACATCTCGAAAAGTTCCCATCCTCGACAAGTCGTCCATGTTTGCAACGCGAATCCAGTCGAGAATACATTGTACACTAGACGCATGCCCCCTGGATGCAGCGCAGTGAAGCGCCGTCAGACCACATTCGTCCTTGAGGTTCAGTTTGGCGCCCAACCTCAACAAAGTGTCCACTGCGTTCGTGGCTCCAATAGTAGCCGCCCAAATCAATGCGGACCGGCCGTGCAGATCTGTGATATTTAACTCAGCGTGACCCTTTGAGATCAAAAGGTCGAGAATCATCTCTTCACCTGGACTAGGAAGCTGAACAGCATAGTGGACAGCTGCCGCCCCTTGATCATCCAGTAAATTGATTGCTGGTGAGACGTCTGCTTGCAAAAGAACTTTTAGCGAATCCACACATTCGTAAATGGTGGCCAGGTGGATAGGAGTTCGACCCGTAACACCGAACGGCCCATATTCCGAGTCTGATGTTGTCACAGTTCGCTTAGCTGTCTTCACACCCATGAACGGATTGAATTCAAGCATGGTTCTAATGAAATCTACATCATTTTTGATCACAGCAAGATGTAAAGGGGATAGTCCGTGATCATCTGGTCTTTCTATTAGATGATTAGCAGTTTTCATTATAATTCTTGCACACTTTAGCCTGTCTCGCTGCTCGAAAATACTATCCACTGGATACACATTTTTACTCTTTGGATCGAGCACACAATAATGAAGAACATTACGCCCGTGCAGGCCTTTAATTCCTTCTATATCTCTTCCACTGATCACATACTCACCGAGATATTTGACATCGCCTCTAGCACACGCAAGCAGAAGTTCTTGTTGCTGGTTTGCCAATGTTGACACTTCCTCCGTAGTTGTTGAAGTCATGGTCGTTTAATTCAGTTTACTGCCGAATAGTCCGTTTCATCAGTATCAGAAAGAATCACATTCGGTTTGTATACCACAACTGCTTTATTGGTCAAAAGTTCTGTGCTGTTTAGCGTTTCCAATTCAAAGCCTTGGTAACTAATTCATCCGACTCCGCGTCACTATGGTGACGATGTTAGGCTCTCTACCATTGGTCGCCCTCATGTCGTACGAAGTGCGGAGCGGTATCGCCCATACGGCACATAAGCACTCGAGAAAGATGTCAACTGATCGAATAAGCTAACAGATCACGTGTCCAGCCAGCCGCCCTTAGTGGCTTTCTTCCTATGAACATATGAAGTGTTACAATACTCTAAACCAACTGTGCGCATCAATGATGTATTCGACGCATAGTAGATGGTATAAGCAAAATTCGCACAACCTATGAAAAGTCGTCGCACATTGAGTAGTGTAAGCGCGGTAAATTAGCTACTTACACCCTGAATATAAGGAAAAGCTGACGCAATCGTGACAGCATTTTTCTCCTTTATAACAGCCATGGCATATGTTTCAATGGGGATATCCCAGGCCGAAAGAAATATTTAAGAGTTGAAGCAGCGAGGTAACGCAAAAGTAACACTGTTTTTTATGGCTATAAGTAAAAGCTACTTTGGATAAAGAAGCGGACTTACGCGAGAAACCTGAAGATAGCCTTCAGTAAGCAAAGCTTTCACATCAGCCACAGGTTGCATCATCAGGTGGTAGCCATGTTTGAAATAATATGGTGGATGACCAGTAAATTCATTTGGGCATAACCGTCACAGAGTGTGGACACTAATGTGCAGATACTTCAGTACTTCAAAGAAGTGGCGCCAATGTTGAGGAGCATTTTGAAATACACGTTGTGTGGATGGATTGCGACGCGCAATCTCAATGTCGACCGCGATTCCCATTGAAGTGAACCTTGGTCTTTCGATCACGAGGATTGTAGCTGATGCAAATAGAAATTGGGTGTTGCCCGCCCAAAAACACTGCATTACTATGACGCGTTTCGATGTTATTACCTCACATCAGCTAGAGTTAGCAGGCATCGAACGCAGAACCATTGAGATGTTAGTTGTTACCGTTACCCCTAAACCAAAGTATAGCATACAGGCAAGGGAGAAGTCCAGAGATTGAGACGGAATGTCTATTACCCAACACGTAGGCTAGTCAACTGTTCGCTTCAGGTTTTTGTCCTTCTTCAATAATTGCGCAGGAGTGTCTTTCTGAAAGGCAGACAGAAAAGGTGCCGTCAGAGCAACGATTTAAATTCAACCACGCGCCAAACTAGTTTCGATCACTCTTTACACCGCACCCCTTCTATGTAGGCAACGTCCCCGTTGCCACACCAAAGCCCCCTTGAGCTGGTACTTCAACTTCGGTGGCTACTTCTGTCGGTGGCTCATTGTGGTGCTCCTCATCCGAATGCTCAGATTCGATATGGAAAGGTTTAAGCCGATTAAAGTGTACGACCATGTGCGGCCCAACGGCGTTCTTTGGGTCCCTAATCACACAAGTCAGATCAGATATTATTCGGTCTACCACGTAGGGGCCAGCCCACTCACGATGCAGCTTCGCTGGTATTCCGGATACCGGTGCCTGATGCAAATATACGAGGTCGCCTGCTTTCAACGGGACACCGAAGACCTTCTTGTCGTAGTATTCCTTCTGTCGCCGTTGAGCGTTCGCCAAATGGATGCGTGCCGCTTCGTGTGTGCGTCGAACGGAGTCAAGGAGTTTACTGACGTATTCAACGACCGACGGGTACACCTGTTGTGATCTCGGTAATCGGACATCCGAGGGCAACCGAACTTCTCTACCCGTCCACATAAACGACGGCGTTTGTCCGGTAGAAGAGTGGACCGTACTGCGATAGGCCAATAAGCATTTAGGCAACAACGTGTCCCACTCGTAAATGTTCTGGTCCACGAACGCCTTCAAGAGTGACTTCAACGACCGATTCGTACGTTCAACCTGTCCGTTCCCTTGTGGATGGTAGGCCGTTGTTCGCGTTTTATCAATACCGAGTGCTCTGCACATCTCCTGGACCAGTGAGCTTTCGAAACATGATCCCCTATCGGAATGCAATTGCCCAGGCGCTCCCCATTGGCAAACCCAGTGGTTAGTCATCGCTGTTGCCACAGTGAGAGTATCAGCCTGCGCGATTGGCACGGCTTCGCACCATTTGGTGAAGTAGTCTACCATGACTAGAATGTAGCGATTCCCTCTCGGCGTTTCCGGTAGTGGACCAACGAGGTCTACTCCAACTATTTCGTTCGGGTAACCTGCTGTCATGGATTGTAATGGTGCCCTATGAGCAATAGGCGGATTTTTGAACGTCGCGCATCTTTCGCAAGTTTGGCAGAAGTTGACAATGTCTCTTCGTTGATGCGGCCACCAAAATCGTCGACGCGCCGCCGATTCGAGTTTATTGATTCCAGCGTGTCCCAGCTGTTGGTGCAGTTCCGACAGCACTTCCGTAACTAACGCCTGTGGAACTACGATCCTCCTCAGGTACGTGGGGCCGAAATCGAAGACCAACACACCCTCTTCGATGGCGAGTTTATCCCACATCGCCCACAAGCACCGGGCCTCGTAGCTTTTCCCTTCCATTTCTTTCGGAGCTGGTTTGTCCCTTCCCGAGCGCCGCTCGTGGTAGATAAGTGATATGTCTGGGTCCGAAGCCTGTGCCTCTTGCCAACGGCCATACTCGGCTTTTTGTAGGTTGACTAGCGCTACGTGTTGCGTAATGCAGGAAGGACAGTTTCCGTGATCTCGAGACGGAATCCTCGATAGCGCGTCCGCGTTGCCGTGTAGTTTCCCAGGCCGATGGTGACATTCGAACTCATACTCCTGTAGCTGCTCCTGCCATCGAGCAATCTGCCCCTCAGGGTCCCTGAAGTTTTGCAACCACCTGAGTGATTGGTGATCAGTCCGTACTAAGAATTTTCTTCCTAAAAGGTAGTGCCGATTTTGTTTTATGAAAAACACCAACGCCAACATTTCTTTCCTTGTCGTACAGTAATTTCTTTCTCTTGACGTAAGGCTTCTACTACTGTATGAAACCACTCTCTCTATGCCATCCCGCCCTTTTTGTGACAAAACCGCTCCAATGGCTTGATCGCTGGCATCCGTGTCCAAGATAAACTCCCCAGCGTGTGGTGACAAGTCGGGGAAGATTAACATCGGGGCGGTACACAGAGACTCACGCAATCGATCGAAGCTCGTTTGACATTCGACAGTCCAATCGAAATTGCGATTATTCTGCAACAACGCGTTTAAAGGGGCTGCGACTTCCGAAAACCCTTTTATGAATCGACGGTAGTATGATGCCAGTCCTAAGAAACTGCGTAACTCCTCGGCATTAGTGGGAATTGGCCACGCCTTTATCTGATCTGTCTTGCGCGGATCTGTCCGGATGCCTGCTCTAGAGATGATGTGTCCGAGATAGGTAACTTCTTCTTGTAGTAAGCGACATTTTTTGGTTGGAGTTTCAAACCTACCTTGATTAGACACGTTAACACTTCAGCTAGATTGCTTAGATGTTCCTCCTTCGTTCTCCCATGTACGATGACATCGTCCAGATAGACGAGACACTTGTGAGGAATTAAATCCTGAAGCACTTTCTGCATAAGGCGTTGAAATGTTGCAGGAGCGTTTGATAGGCCGAAAGGCATTGTTTGAAACTCATAAAGGCCTGAAGGGACTACAAAGGCTGTCTTCGCTCGATCACTCTCTTCAACCTCCACTTGCCAATAACCAGACACCAAATCTAACGTGCTGAAATAAGCTGATCCTCCGAGCGCGTCGAAAAGGTCATCAATTCTGGGCAGTGGGTATGCATCTTTCCGCGTGACTTCGTTTAGCCGCCTATAATCAACACACAGCCTAAAACCACCGTCTTTCTTCTTTACCAAGACGACTGGGGATGCCCATGGAGAAGTAGAGGGTCGTATAACTTCCTTTTTCAACATGTCGCCTATGAGCTTTTGCAGCTCGCCTTGCCAGTGCACTGGGATCCGTCTTGGGTGATTCTTAATCGGGGTCGTGTTCCCCGTGTCGATTAGGTGTTTCACGACGCTGGTGCGGCCCAGGTCTCCTGTCTGCCAGGCGAATGCATCAGAGTGGGCTAGCAACACTTCTTTGAGCTTTCCTAACGTTCGCTCGTCCGTTGGCAAATCGAGTGAGCGGATAAACGTGTCTACCCGGTCTTCCTCGTCAGAGGAGCTCCCACAAATCGTAAACGTTTCAAGACTGTCGGCCTGGCCTTGTCTGAGCAATACAACGCAATTGTCGGTGATCAACTGGCATTTGTCTAGATCTAAGTGACATCTCAGACGCTTCAATAAATCCATTCCAATGATTACCGAAAATGGGATGTTATCAGCGACAATAAACTCGTGGCGGAACTTCTCATTAGCAATGTGTACCTGAGCAGTGATAGATTCCCGAACAGACAGCGGTTCCCCATTAGCAGCGGTCAGACGATAGCGGCATGGTGTCCACACACAATCTGACAGAGATTTAGTTATGTTAGCTCGGACTAGGCTCCTACATGCCCCTGTGTCAATTAGACCTACCAGTGGCACTCCTGCTATGATTAGCTCTACCGTTAATGCGAATGCGGACGTTGTACATGTGACAGCGGGAATGAAAACGGACTTCACACGGTCACTCTCACCTTGAGGATTTCGGCTGCCACGGCTTGGCGGGGAATTTCTTCTTCTTGGTGGGGGAGGACGGGGCCTTCGAAAGTTCGATTGTACTGGACGTCGCGAGTAATCCCCCCGATACGGAAAGCGATTCCAATTTCTTCGGTCTGGTGGCTGGAATCTAGCGGGACTGTATCGCTTCAGCGCGCAGCATGGTTCCATGGGGCCCATGGACGCGTCGACTTGCTCTAGTTGATCTGCCACTGTTAGGGCTGCCTGAAGACACGTAGGGCGTCGTAAACGGAACTCCCTTTTTACCGAGGGAGTTTGGATGCCCTCGAGCAACTGCTCTAACACGCGCTCGTCCTGTTGTTCCTGCGTTTCCTCTGTGTAGGCAGTTACAGCCATCCTCCGCAGTTCGCGAACGAATGTTTCCACGTTTTCTCCCGGTCTTTGATACCGGGCATGGAAAACTTTGCGCAGTTCGTCGGGCAGGCCAGGCCGATCTAAGATACGGCGAAGGGCAGCGAAGGTTTCCGTGGTGATTTCTCCATCTAACACTTTACTATCCATAACTTTGTCAAATGCCTCGCCTGCTAGCAGGCCCATGATAACAGTACCACGTTGTTGGGCTGGAAAGTGATTGACGTACATTTGCACTTGTTTCTCCCATCGGAGATATGGCATGCCTGGAAAAAACTTTTCCGGAGGGGGTAACGGGGGTGTGGAAGGGGCGGGTGTCAGGTTTGTTGTCATCTTCCGCATAGCGTCCGACAAGGATTCCAAAGCAGAAGCAATCCTTACCCCCGGATCGGAGGTCAGCGGCTGAATTTCATCACCAGACGGTTTACCTGGCTTTGCCATTATCTCTTGATCCTGGCCCCAAAGGTTGCCCGACTTGACCTGGTGGCTAAGGAGTAGCGGTCACAGTTAACTTCCCCATGGTCCCTGGTTCGATGCCTGCTAACTATCTAATGAAATGTACTAACATCGAAATGCGTCAGTGTTACTGAGTTTAACGCAAACTGAAGACTAAGTTATCCCAATTACTTTTAAACACGGAATGAGAAGTAACCGCCAACCAGTCAGCTCAGTGCAATAAACACCAGTCATGAAAGTTGTTCAACGTCCTTTTCTAAATCAACAATGTTGAGGCATATTTATGCATATATATGTATGTATATGTATATATTTATCGTGAGCATGAAGTATCACAGGAATGACAGGGAATGCTAGCACTTAACTTTTCATCAGTCAAGCAACATGGTCAACTTAACACACTTCTGTGTTCACCAAGCTAACTCCCGACCGTGTGAGTCGTTAGTAAAATATACGGCATCCCACCTCATCTCCAGAAATCCTTTCCTACTGGTGAACAGCATGTTTAAACCCCATGGTGTTAATGGGATTCATAATGCAATCCAGTATGATTTACATTCGCGTGACTTTTGGTTTTCTAGGTAGGAGATGGTATTTTGCATCAACGAATATCATGTGCAATCCTACAGACATGAGGTTACGCTAGGTTCGCTTACCAGTGGAAATGAGCCACGGCCCGACTGTCATACCATCCGCAATAAGGAGATTCACTGTTCAAATACCCTCAACTATTCTGAGCACCACGAACATACTGAAAAGATACCTATCAATCTGCCCTGCATGCAGACCCGAAGCGAATTTGGCGGTCAAGTATACAGTGCGACAGAAATGATATGAATACCAGTGCAACTTTGAGAAGGCCGCCTACAACGCAGTCAGATGAGGGAAACACGCTTTATACAAAGTTAAGAAGCGCCGACATCTATGAAGACAGTATGCTCCAATATGCCTGAGTCAAAGACAAACTCTATCAAGGATACACTGCTGGAAAACTTGAAACACTGGGAATTTAAATGCCAAGCACTGGGAATCCAGGCCGAACAGGTTAGTTTGTTTTGCATCATCCGGCACCCAAACTCAATTCACTATGACAAGCTATGACTACTTTAAGTAGTATTTCAGTCGAGTGACGAAGCGGAGACCGCCCTCTTATCAACTGGCGGTCTTCGTGATTCACCATGTGACGTTAGCATATTCCCTATATCCCATGTAGTAAGCGTAGGCAAAGGAAGCAAAACTCAGGAGAACACAGCAAGCAAAACGACGTAAGGTCGCTCTGTGTCTATAGTGTCCTCGAAATTCAGTCTTACGACGAATCGCAAGCCGAAGCTTACGACCTGGAATAGTGGCGCTACGTCCACGAAGCTCTCTCTATCCACAACATAATTTATCAACACAACAACAAGGTTACTAATGTCACCCAACCATAAAGGATGTGGTCTAGGGGCCTGAAAGTTCCGCTCTACTCCATACATATGGTTAAAAGTGTGTTCAGACCTGTATAATTGCGTATCAAACAGAAGTCAGGCCACTATCGGCTGAGATACCTCAAAACCAGCGTGATTTTTGTCGTCAACCCTGCTATTTACGTTTCTGAACCAGAACTCAGTTCAACTCCCCAGCCGTCCGAAGCTAACGGAACAGGCAATCGGCCGCAATTCGCCTGAGGGATTAGGTAATGAGTGCAATGAGTGCAATGTGCAACGGACTGAACGCACCCCTGGGTCAGGCCAAAAAATACATCCATAAACCATTGTCAGTCGCCCCACAAGCGTCGGCTTGAATATGCTGGAAATGTTTGTATGTTCAGATACGCTACCGGCATTCGTTGCTCTCACTTGTCAGTTTACAAACGCACAAGGCTCTCTAGGTAGCCTGGCCGAGCTTCCATTTCCTTAAACTGCTGTGTTAGGACCTCGTCTTGGCCACCGAGGCATGGCTGAACGATGTGATTACCGACGCCGAGATCTCACTACTTAGGATGTCCCTCTTACGCAACGATCGACCCACTGGCGGAGGCGATGTAATTCTTTGCTACCGTTCCGCCCTACTAATTGACTAAGAAAACGACCCTGAGATTCAAACCGTAGACTTCTTATATTGCTGCATACAGCTAAGGCAGGGTAATATTTCTTTAATGACTATTGTATACCTCCGAGCAATATCCACTTTAGAAATGGACCAGGCCCTAGCCTCTATTATGAACTACCTACTGTCACCAACTTACAGACACATTTCCTGGTAAATGGCTTCAAACTGCACGGCATAGAAAGTCCGGCCACACTCGGTGAGCAATTCAGGATGGAACTTCCAGTGCTAATCCATAGTTCACCGTTGTAAAACCTTGTCAAGCTTTTCAGGACAGGAAAAGAACCGGCCATCTTGGACTTTGTTTGTACCAACAAGAAACTCATGATCGACATAGTAACCACGTGCACTGCTATGGACCGCAGTGATCACGCGACACCACTACTCCACTACATGTGCTACGCAGGGTATCTTAAACAAAGTACCGAGGAATCTCACCTCGTAAGCAAATATGATGGCCTTTCCGATCTCGTGTATGCAACAAACAGGTCTTTCCTGGCCGAATGGTCCCCTAAGATTGGCTGGGAGTAATATGTCAACAGATTTAACTGGCTCACGAGAAAGATATCAGAAATCTAAATCCACAGCTCAGAAATGTTGTCATTCCTAAGGAGCAGGACTCATAAATGCATGGCATTGAGAGACTCTGACTCGCCCAAGTAGTCTCTCCAAGCGAATATACTTAGGATATCTATACAACACAAAGAAACCACTGCGTCAAAGTGATGCGAGAAGATAAAGTAACGAACCTACAAGACTTGGTAATAAAATGTCGCTCTAACTCCAAGCTGCTATACAGCCAACTAAACAAACTTCGCCGAGCTAAGTGCGGCATTCCTGCTCTATACACAGCATGCAGGTAAGCACAAACACCACAAGAGGCGGCGAATGTTTTAGGACAGCAATTCGGTCGTACCTTCCAAAGTGTTCAATCATCACATATCCTATCTTCGCAGATTAGATCGCCATCAGGCCTTAACCACACTTCCTTTACGACCCACAGCTGTACTGAAACAGCTGATGCTCTTGCGCAAATACAGCCTTGTGAGTGCAGACGGCATCCGCCCAAAGGCGTTGAAGTTTCTGTCGAATCGTTAGCAATACCGTGTCTTAACGTGATGCACGTCTCTACGGTGTGGATTATCACTCCAATCTACAAAACTGGTGGCAGTGCAAAATCAGCAAATTGTCGCTCGATAACACTGCAGTCGGTGATCTCCATAGTAGCTGAGGTGCTAACATGGTACCTGGAGAGTAACGGAGTTCAGATTCCAGAGCAGCACAGCTTTCGCCAACATGGATTCTGTACTACTAACCAGTTGATCGTTCGTGCTTGCTGGACGGAATCTATGGATGTTGGTGTAGGAGTAAATGTACACTACTTGGATTTCTCACCGGTGTCCGACCCCATGGACCATCGCATTCTACTGCACAAGCTTCAGCTTTATGGCATCGGTGATCCCATTTGTGGTTGGATAGACGACTCTCATTCAACCTCACCTGGATGACAGGGTTTGCAACACCCTATCGGAACCGATCGATGTTCAGTGTGGTGTACCTCAGTGCTCGATACTCGGCCCCGCCTGTTGCTGGTCTTCATAAGTGGTCTAGCAAGGGTGTTATCTTTCAACTTCATACTGTGTACCGATGACCTAAAGCTACCACCACGTCTGTGGATCACACAGTCTTACAATATGACGTTGACAAAGCGTACAAATGATCCATCGAGAACATGGTGCAGTTAAACGCCAGCAAGTGTAAAGTTTTTAACATACACCATCAGAGTATTCATAAGTATCTGCCAGGGCCAGAAATTCTACAGCGGGCTTCTCATGATTGTGATCTCAGCGTGCTCATGCAAGATGACCTTTGTGATTTGGAATAGTCTGAAAGCATCAAAAATGTAAACCAGCACTTCGGGTTCCTTCACAGAGCGTTTGGGAAGCTCAACCCATCAGTCTTTCCGCAAATGCTTGGCGCGTACGTAAGTCGCATGCGGAATACGCTAGCCAAGCGTAGAAACCCCGGTAGATGTATCGCTTCACTGCACTCGATATATCACGACGTAGGGCGACGAAGAACGCCA